GACCCTGGGCGAGACCCCGCCGCCCCGCTCAGCCACTGGTCTCGGTGGCGGCGGGACCGTGCCGTGGTGCCCCGTCGGCAGCAGGGGACCGGCGACCGCTGCGGGTGGATGGGCTCGGGGCGAGTTTTCGTTGAAGTCGAAACTCCCGGCCATGGCCGAGCAGCCACCGCGGGGTCGGGACGCAGGATCCGGTGGGGGGACAGCGAGGGTTCAATGCCGGCGCAGCCCCGCAGCCGTCAGGCCGGCCGCCGCGCGCCGCCGCTCGGCATCTCGGCTTGGGGGAGGCCCGGGGATGGTGGGCAATCAGAGCCCAGGGCGTACCCCCCAGTCCTGAGCGGAGGGTCCGGGCGGACAGGCAGGGCCGGCCCCCGTCCTGCCCGGCCTTCATGTCTGCCTTTAATCCCCGTCCTCCTCCTCCTTACTCGCACGGCACTGTTGTGAGGACCCATCGGCACAACGCCTCTCAGGAATACGGAGCCCCGCGGTGCCCGGAGCCGGAGACCGCAGAGGCCTCGGGGCGCCCTGTATCGGGGCCCCCCGGCCCGTCCTTCCAGTCCCGAGCAGTGCTGCCGGTGCTGCCGCCCCTGCGACCCCCCCGCCCCCGGCCGCCTCCGCCGCGCCATGAAATGCTTTATCGATTAAACGATTATTCAGGCGATTTAACTAATAAAAGGCCCCATCGATCGCTTCGGAATTGCATTCCGCCACCAAGCCGCCAGGCCGACTCCGCAACGGCCAGTGGTCGCGCTGCCGCCGCGCTCCCCACGGGGACGCCGTGAAAGGGCACCTCGCTGCCACTCGCCAGTCCCCGGTCCCGGTCCCTTCGCTCGCCCGTCCCCTTAGCCAGTCCACCCCCAGCCGCGGGACCAACGAAAACCAAGGCGGCCCCTCCATGGACCTCGGGGGTCTCAGCAGCCCCCCCTCGCCGCCCCGACGACCCCGCGGGGAGCCGGTCGCGCCGCCCGCTCCGACCCTTCGACCGCCCGCCCCGACCCACGTCGGCGTCGCCCTCGTCCACAGAGCCGCCGAGCTCCCTGCGGCCCATGGCCCGAGTCCCACCTGTCCGGCCGGCCCGGGGGGTCGCGTAGGTTTTCTCCAGCTCCATCCCGGTTCTGCAGAACTTGGGGAAACGGAAAAGTTTCCACGTCGTGTTGCTACCTCTTCCTTTTTCTCCTTTTTTTCCCCCTTTTTATTGTTTTCTGTTCTCTTATCCTTTTCTTGTATTTTCTGTTTTTCTTTTCTCTTCCTCTTTTCTTGTTGGTTTTTTGGGGTTTTTTCCTCTTTTTTCCTTTCTTTCTTTTCCTTCTTTATTTTCTCTTTTTTCTTCTTCTTTATTTTTTCTTTTTTTTCTTTCCTTTTTTTTTTTTTTTTTTGAGGGCCTCTCTCAGGTTGGAATAATTCAACTCTTCCGCTCCCCGCCGAGCTTTTGCAGCTGATCACTGAGCTGAAACTAAACGTTTTAGGTGGAAAAAAGCCTCTGAAGGAACCGTGAAATGATTAAGAAACTAAAGAGCTCCTCGCCATGTGAGATCATGTCCTGTTCTCTAAAACATCACAAGATGTCCCCAGACGCAGCCAAAACCCAAGAAAACTCTGACATATGTTGTAGCAGGAATCAAACTTTGCTCTCAACCAGCCGCCTCCCGAGCGCTCCGCGGCTACGGCAGCGGCGGCGGCACCTGCCCTCTCTGGCTCTTCTGCCTCAACCCGTCACCAACTTTTCAGCAGAACCGACTTCCCCTTCCCGGGCCGGGGGTGATGCTGACGCCCCCGGGGCCACGCTCCCCGCCAGGCCGGGCCGCCGCGGGGGCGGGACAGGCGCCCGCCTGCCGGCACCTGGGGGGCGGCGGAGAGATCCCAGTGGCCGTATCCCTCCGGCCCTGCCCTGCCCTACCCGGCGCCCCTCGGCGCGGGACAACCCCTGAGCAGCGGCGGGGATCGGGGACCAGCGGCCCAGTGGAGGCGCAAGGGCCTGGGCAGGGCTTTCCCGGCCCAGGAGGCTCCACTCGGGCTCCCCCCGCACCTTTCCTTAGCGCGGAGGATGCAGACCCACCGCCGTGAGTGAGGGTGGGTAGAGGGGAAGGGGAGAAATAACGAGGCCTCGACCTTTCCCAGGTTTATTTTACAGCGAATCGGGGGGGAGGGGGGGGGAATAACGGCCCTTCCCTTCCCAAAGGCCAAAACAAATTTCCTCCCCGGGACACCTCTCGGGGCTACAGGCTCGGCGGGCGGTCCCCCTCTCAGCGCCCACCGGCGTTTGCAGCCACGCACCTACTCCCACCCGCGCACACCTACGGCCCGTTTCCCACGGAACCCGCTCAGACAGGTCCGCTTGGAGGGGACGCAGGTGGGCTCTACTCTGCTCTGCTCTGCTCCCAGGCTACCCCCACCGTCCCACGGCCGCCACCGCGCCGGGGTATCGATCAGGGAAGGGGAGCGGAGGAATGGGAGTGGGGGATGCGTCCGCTTCCCATGAGCGGAGCGGCCCGGGAAACTCCGATAGGGACGAGTTCTGCCGGGACGGAGGACGTGCCGGGTTTGGGACAAGACCCCTTTCGCGAGGCCGGCGAGGGGGCTGCCTCTCCCGGCGCAGCCCCTCCACCCTAAGCCCGTTCCCACCGGGAGCTAGCATGGACGGACTCGTCTTATTTCCAAACTCTCCCGTTTCTATCCCGACCATCTCTCCGTCTCGGACCTAGTCGCATCCTAAGACCGCCGTCCCGGGGAAGGTCCGCGGCTGGGACAGGCTGGGTCCTCCGGGAGCCCCGCCTGCTCGGCTCAGGAAGCGAGGCCGACTCCGGCCTCTCGCCCTTTTGCTTCCTTTCCCACCAGTCTCTGTTCACTCTTATTTGCTTACACAGAAATAGCAGCCACCGGAGCTGCCGCCGAAAACGAAACCCGCCGCTCCGCGATACGGGGTCCTTCCCTAGGGGAGGCACACCCCAAGGAGCCGTCCAAATGCAAGGCAGACCCCCCGTCCCATTCCGTCTCGTCCCTTCAAGCGCCCGTCTCGTCTCGTCTCGTCTCTCCTGGCCTCACCGGCCCCGACAATGCGAGCAGCCCGGGAGCGCTTCTCTGACCTCATCCAGGGAAAGGAACGAAAAATACTTTATTGTCCTAAAAACAGGTCACAGGCCTCCCGCTTTCCCTCCCGCCGGTCGTCTCGACCCGAGAGACAGCGTGGGGAGGCGGCGCAGGGGCCGCGGTGGGGCACCGGCCTGGCCCCACCCGTCTGCCAGCACGGCCGCAGCCGTGGGGACGCGCGAACACTGACCCGTGTGGGCACGCGAGATGTGCAGCTCTGCGGGGAGCGGGAGTGGAGGCAGGCCCCCGGCACGCTGCGAAGTCTCAGGGCTGTGAGGTCTTCTCACGGTCCCGCCGGCCACCCCCCCGGCCGCGTTAACGAAAACAACGCGGGGGCTTCGGTGGGGAGCGGCCCCCTTCACCCCCTGCCAAGGTGGGAGGGCTTGGACCCCTTCTGCTCCCCGCGAGTGCCCCCCAGAGCGCGGCTGCAGGACCCCGCCGCGGCCCGGCACCGACCCCCGCAGTGCCGTGACCGAGAGTGAGATTTAAGGCCGGGTGCGAGAACCTGTGCCCCACGGACGTCCAGAAGCAGCCGGCGCTGTCCTCACGAAGGGGCAGTGCCTCGGGAGCCAGAGGGGCTGGGGGTAGCTAGGATCCCCCCAGGATGTCCCAGGAAAACACCTCCCGCTCTCCCGGGAGCAGCATCTGAGGGGGCACGGAATCGTGCCGTGTCAGAAAGCCCCGGGAAGGGGCGCTCGGGGCCAGCCCACCGTGATGCTGCGGCCACAGCCGAGGGTCCCAGGCCTTGGCATGTCCCAGACCACGTTTCAGAGTGATTCTGTGCTTTCTGTACACGGAGGGTAAAACGACAGCGAAGAGGAAGAAACGGTGGTGCAACAGAAATCTGAGTTTGGAGTTTCCCAAGGACAGTTGATGTTACCTGCCCTCTCTGAAGCGAGAAGATCACGAACCCGGCCCAACCATTTCTCCCTTTATCTGATACATAACGTTAGGACGTGAAGGGATGCCCTCCCACCCCACGATGCTCACACTCGTCCTGCAATGCCCGAACTGCGCGGGCTTAGCCTAACACCTGGCAGCCAAATAAACCTGAAGCGGCCGGAGCAGAGCGCCTCGCCTCCCCAGGTACCGGCCTGCGCTGCTCCCGGGGTTGCCTCCTCCTCCTGAGGCATGGTTAACCAGAATTTGGGAGACGTGGAGGTGCAGATGGTTGCAGGGAGCATCCAAAGGCCCGCAGTACCTTTGCAGTTACCTGCATTTTCTCACATTTATGTAAAACACACCAACACCAAATAGGGAGAGGGGGAGCGCAGACATCATAGTCTGTCCCTCAGTCTGGGCAGCATTAAAGGGTGTGGGGGGGGTGGAGGGGCGGGGAGGGCAGATGTTACTGTTTTGGAAATAGCCGGTGCTCCTTTGCAGCACCACAGCCCCTTTTTCCTTCGTTGTCTGACATTTTAAATTCAAAGCAGAGGAGATTTAGCAGGAATCCTGGCCCACCGTGTTCCCACAGATAAAAGTCAACTCCGAGATGCGGATGCTAATTGGACTGGAGTAATTTAAAAGATGTTAGGTGAGCAGTCCTATAAAGTTGAGAGCATTTAGGCTGCTTAATCGAATATCCTCAGTGATCTTTAGAGAACTCTGAACGGCAAGCCATCAGAAAAACAGGGTTGAAAGAGGAGAGCGGAGGCATCCCGTCAGCACTCGTTCACACGGAGGATGTGCGCTGTCCCCACAGACAAGGATCTCGCAAATGGAAGTGAACGAGGGGAGATGCTGACCGTCCTGTCAGCGCTCCGTCCTCTCCCTGCCCGGTCGGTATAGCAAGGAGTCAGTGCCGAGGTGGAGCAGCTAACAAAAGCGGCGGGTTTTATTTTTGAGAGCGTGAGAGGAGGGCAGGAAATACTGAGAGACTTCTCTTTTTCAACCAATTTTCATTATTATTTTTCACTCCCCCCTTCTACCCTTAACTGCTGTCTCAGACTTGCTGCCAGTTGCCGACGGACCTTGTCGGTCTATTCCCGGGGGTCCTTCTTGGGTGTATTCCTCAGAGAGACTCACTGCCAGCCCCACGCCCGGGTGAAATGCTTTTCTGAAAGACCTGCCTAGAGTTTTTCTGTCTGACACCATGAAGGCTGCTCCCCTTACTGGCCTCCAGGACTTTTTTCTCCAGTCCACAAACACACTGACTGGGTCCTGCCTGGTTTTGGATATAAACGTGTGTGTTAGCAGAAGACTAACCTGTTTTATCACAGCAATGAATAGCCCAGAACTGTTTTGTCAGCCTACTGTGCAACGGCTTAAGGCCGCAGTGAACGCTTCAGTCCCCTCTCTCAGTCACTTTCACTGCTCTCGAGTGTGGTTATTTTGATAGTTAAAAAGGCATTGTTTTTTAAAGCAAATTTTGCAGATCTTTCTACCTGGTGACACGCTTATATGCATAGCTGAAAATTGTCTAGCATCCGAGGGAGGCCAAGCCACACTTGATACTGGCTTCTACCTCTTCCTGAGAGCTCTGTGAGAAATCCCACCGTATTCTCTGAGATTGCTGCAGTGACGTGACAGGGCTTGGCCTCCCGGTAGCGCAGCACGACTGGACGGCCGTGTTCGGGCTTCCCCGGCCCCGGGCGACAGCTCCTCGTTCAAACACGAGAGAAGCGTGACGCGAGGCACCATTCGCAGCAGAGCTAGAGCCCTGCGGCCCCTGGAGCATCCTGGCAGCTCCTCGGGGAGGAAAAGTGCTTGTTCGGATGCAGCAGTAGCGGTGGGATGAGCGCTGCTTGTGTGACCAGCTGAGGAAAGAGACGCCCTGAGTGAGACTCTCTAGGGTGTCTGAGGATGCAGAGCAGCAGGGGAAGGAGGGAGAAGGAACAGGTTGCTGATCCCTTTGCTAGACGGAGGGTGCCGTGGAGTGCCTGAGGACTACAGAGGTCTGGACAGAGCAGAGAGCAGGAGTTGAATCTTAGCAGCTATAGGTCAGGGCACTCATGGAACAGCACCTTTGAAGTCCATCCTCTGTCACTGCGCTCGGACTTTAACAGTGGCCCCGGATTCCTGGCAAGTGAGATGCCCTGAGGGGTGGGTTGTCAGCTCACTTGTGCGTCAAGCTGAACAGAGAATCTGGC